AGAGAAGGACCAGTAGAAGCAGGAAATAGGAAGGAAGTGGGAAGAGTGCTATTACATTGTGAGCATCGTAATCAATGTCACAGAATACAATTTATAATTTTATAACAAATGGAAAACTAGTATGCTTTGTAAACTTTCACCCAAATCACAATAAATAAAAAGTTGTTTGTTTTTTTAAAGTTAAATATCAAAATGTCAAATGACTCAGTAATTCCACTCCAAGGAACCTACTGAAGAGAAATAAAAATATGTATCTAAACTAAAACATGCTTGAGAATCTTCACAGAACACGGTTCATAATAACCGAACCTTGAAACAATCCAGTGAGTGGATAAACAGTATGTGGTATGTCCATACAATGGAATACTATTTAACAAGAAAAAGGAAGTGAATTACTGACATATGCTACATACAGCATGAATGATTTCAAAACCTTAAGTAAAAGTAGCTAGATACTTAAGACTACCTACTATTTGATTCGATTTATTTGAAATGTTCAGAAAAGGCAAATCTGTAGAGACAGAAAGTAGGTAAGTGGTTGACTGATGTAGGCCTGACAATGGGGACTGATCACAGAGAGACATAAAGAAATTTGAGGGGGTTATGGGAATATTCTGGAATCCTGGTGTGACACAACACTGGACTGCTAACCACAAGGTAAGTCAAACATATCAGTCAGAAACCCCATACAGGGTCACTATAAGTAGAAAGGAGTCCTGGTGTGGCACTGTGTGTTAATTTGCTGGACTGCAAGGTTGGTTTGAACCACAAGGTCAGCAGTTCAAGCTCATCAGTTGCTCCTTGGAAACCCTATACAAGGTCGCTATGAGTTGGAACTGACTTGAAGGCACTTGTAGTAACTACAACATGAGTAGGAAATGACTGCAAGAACAACTTTTTCATGCAGTGGCCTCTACTGGCCCAAAGCAGAAATCGTGCTTATTTGATCAACTAATTACGTTTTTATGTTTATAAGATGTGCACTGTACAAAGTAGGCCCTATATATAGTTGTAATTCTAGTAAGAGGCAGGACCTAAACCGTTAAGCCCACTCAAAGGAAACGACAGGATAAAGGGTAAGAATTAAAGGACACACAAAGCGGCAACAGACATACTTGCTCCCAATCTAAACCTCTGCTAAAAAATTAAACCTCCTAAAAATACTTATGTTAAAAAAAAAATTACAGTAAGTCCCCAGGTTCTTAAGGAGAACTCTTAGTTGCCCCTTGCTATGTACATTTGCCCTTACTCTGAAACAACTGAACTAACCCCCTACTGGAAGCATCTTCATCACAATCATAGTCACTTGCTACACGTGAAGCTTGTAAATAACTCTTTGGAAAGACTCAGGCTTTTCCCTGAACTAATCCATTGCCATCAAGTTGATTCCAGCTCACCGTGACCCTACACACCAGACCAGACCTACGCTATAAGGTTTACAAAACAGTAAATCTTCACAGGAGCAGACAGCCTCATCATTTCCCTTACAGTAGATGGTGGGTTTGAACTGCCAAACTTACAGCAGCCCAAAATTTAAGTCATCATGCTACTAGGGCTCCTTTTCTTCCACTACAGTATGCACCTGTTCCCACTCACTGACAAATACGATTTAACATCTATTCAATCACTATGTGACCTTGGGTTTATTGTTTAATCCAACAGAGTCCTCATTTCTGCAAAATGGGGGAAATGTTTTATCTCAAAGGACTGTTGTGAGGATTGCTTAACGTATAATTTCCATACAATGTGGTGCACTAGGATAAGCACTGGACTGCTAACCACAGGTTGGCAGTTCAAACCCACCAGCCACTCCTCAAAAACCCTATACAGGATCACTATGAGTCAGAACCGGCTCGATGTCTATTTAAAAAAAGTTTTTATTGTGAATTGAGTGAAAGTTTACAGGCAGATCATCAGTTTCACATTCAACAAATCATACTGTTTCATTACAATGATTATAATCCCCTCCATGTACCATCAATTAACAGTAATTTCAGTAATTTTTCTCTGTTCATTTTAGCTTTTTTTTTTTTTTTTTTAAATACTCAGGCATATAATTTAAACCACCAAAGGGGCACATTCTGCAAATCTGCCTCCTGGCTGCCAGTTCTCAGTCCCTCTCTTTCCATGAAATCTAGAGTCCTCAGCTGCTTCCTATCTCCATATCCCCAACTCTGTCTCCATCTCTAGTGTTGCTGCTTCTCTGGATAAGATCCCGCATTCCGCTTGTGCTCTTCTGCCTTGATGGTTCTAGAGTCCTCTGTTTCTGGATTGTACGATTAACTACTCTCCCATTTCTGTTCAAAATGTCTACCTTTACAATTGTGACAGCTGCAATTAGTTATGATAACAATTACTCACTATTGAATCATAAGAATCTTATCCCCATCTCTTTTTACCAGACCCATTTAGACAAGATGAAAACTATTCAGTGGGGACTGTATATTCCCCCCCACATTCTTAAATTAAACTCCCTCTTGAAACCTTGTAAGCCAGTCACTTCGTGCCTTTATCACCCCCTCATTCTAGGTAGCCAACGTCTAAATTATCCATCCTTACCTACCCAGAACACAGACGGGATAGCATTGATACTTGATTCAATGTCTCTTAACAACCACATATCTCCTATTCCTTCCTGCTGCTCCTGCTACACATACTCTAAGAAACTCTTATGCAAATGCCTGGAAGGGGCAGGCTGCCCTCTCCTCCTATGTATACCCAAACTCTTATGCATATACTAATAATGGGCAGGCAGCCCTCTCCTCCTATGTATACCCAAACTCTTATGCATATGCTAGTAAGAGGCAGGCTGCCCTCTCCTCATATGTATACCCAAACTCTTATGCAGATGCTAGTAAGGGACAGGCAGCCCAGCACCTGTGGTTTCCTTGCCTTTCTGTACTCTGTGGACCACACTGAACTATCCTCACATGTGAGACTTGTTTATCCTGTTATTTAAAAAGACCCTAGCACATGCCCCTGGTGAGGAATCTTAACTGTCCAGCGGACACCACTGTATGTAGTACTGCTATCCCCGGGTGTATGTTTGTCTTTGGATACTCTAATGTCTCTCAGACAGTCTCCTGGTCAGTTTTGCAGTCTCTAGGCAACTACCTAGGCAGAAGGGTTCTACCTTCTAGGCTTAAATCCAAACATCACTCTGTAGATCTTTACTGAAGCAGATGGCCACATCTGTCTCTCACAGGACGATTAGTGGTTCAAACTACCATCCTTTTGCTTTGCAGCAGAAAGCCTTTACTACTGCGCCACTGCTGTTGTACTGTTGTTCAGTGCCATTAAGTCAGTTCTGACTCATAGTGAACCTATATAGGGTATCTGAGTGGCTGGTGGATTTGAACTGTTAACCCTGTGGTTAATGGAGTCCTGAAATGGTATTGTATGATAAGCACTGGAGCACAAGATCAGTTAGAACCACAAAGTCAGCAGTTCAAACTTACCAGCCACTCCTCAGAAACCCTATACAGCGTCATTATGAGTCAGACATGACTCGATGGCAGTTAGAAACAGCAACAACAAAGTCAGTTCTGACTTACAGGGTTTACAAGGAGCAGCTGGGGGATTTGAATCACTTTGTGGTTACTAGTCCAATGCTGATCCTACAGTGCCACACCAGGACTGGTTATGGTAGTTGAGCACCGTTGAGTAGGTTCTGACACATAGTGATTGTGTATAGGGTTTCTGAGGAGTGGCTGGTTGAGTTTGAACTGCCGACCTTGTGGTTCAAACGGACCTTGTGGTCTAGTGTTTATCCTACAGTGCCACACCAGGACTTTGTTGTTGTCACGTGCTGTCAAGTTAGTTCTGACCAATAGCAACTTTGTATAGGGTTTCTGCGGAACGACTGGTGAGCTTGAACCGCCGAATTTGCAGTTCAAACTGATGTTACAGTCTGGCACATTGACCCACGGCACCACACCAGGACTCTACACCAGGACTGTGGTTGTTGCTAAGTTGGTTCCAACTCATAGCAACCCTGTAGGGTTTCCAAGGAATGGCTGGTAAACTTGAACTGCCAACCTTATGGTTCAAATCGACCTTGCAGTCCAGCGCATTAACCCACTGTGAGATGGAATGAGCCGGAACACAAACACCCACATGTAAAGCTTTACTGGAGGTCGGAAGGAAAGAGAGAGGTATTGCCAGGGGAAGGATTTTTACACTGGTCGAAGAGGAGGGGTTGAAATTAGTGGAGGTAGGTGATAAGTTGACTAGGGATGACATGCTAGTAGGGAGAGAGAAGTTCCAATAGGAAGAGAGAAAGTTCCTGTAGGAAGAGAGAAAGCGCGGAAACAGCCATTTTATTCTGCACGTGAATGAGGGATTCTATCACCCACAGCACCTCACCAAGACTCTGGTCACCAGGACTAGAGCTCCTTAAATAAGAGAAATACCCTTAAAATGTTTTCTAGCATAACTAGAAGTCCATGGGCAGAATAGAGAAGCATGCAAAAGATTCTTACAGCAGCTGACTAGATTGAGGCCAACTTAATCTCAGTAAGTGAGCTAGCTGAGCTGAGTTCAGCGCCTCTGATGATGCATGTCTTATTGGAAATATGATCTTAGTTAAGTTAGTTATGGAAAGCCTTCCTACAATTCCTTTTAAATTCTCTACTCCCAACATGATGTCATTGGCTTCTCTGTAATGCAAAAAGGAAAATCTGACATCTATTCCCTGTTTGTTGGATGAGTTGATGCAACAGTAAGAACAGCCTTCCCAAGACTGCATGCTCTTCAACATTAATGGCTGCTAAGGAATCCTGGTGTGGCACTACGGGTTAATGTGCCAGACTGCAAACCCACTTGAAATGGAAGGTCAGCAGTTCAAGCTCACAAGTTCAAGCTTACCAGCTGCTCCTCAGAAACCCTATATTGGGTCGCAATGGGTTGGAACCAACTCAATGGCACTTAACAACAAGATTCCACTGCTACAAACATATATGAGCCTTGATTATTTGGAAAAGGGTAAAGGCAAAAGGTCAGCAATACATTTTCCTTAAATAAGTACACTAATAAAATTGAAACTCACCAGAAAACATTTTTACAAAGTCTCCAGCAGACATACTCATCACCACATCTGCCTGATCAGCAGGCTCTCCAGAGCCAACATTTCCACCTTTGTTCTTAAGATCAAGGAACCATGTTCCACCATCTTCACCTACACAGAAGGAAAACATGTAGAAATAAATGTCACACAAGTCCTGTTCTCCTTAAATGTAATAACTACGAAAATTAGAATCATCTTACATAATGCTGTTTGCCAGGTTAAAATCCTCTAGTTTCTATCAATTAAATCCAGCAAATATGTCTTAAGTACTTATCATGCGGCAGGCACTATACTAAGCTCTGAAGATGTTGCAATAAACAAAACAAACAAGGTCCTGCTGACAAAAGAAGTAGTAGTGGGAGAAGGATATGGGAGCATATTCATAAAGAATCAGAAAAACTCCACTGAAGCTGAGATTTCAAAATTAAGAATTAGCTCTATGAACAGGGAAGTGGGAAAATATTTCGAGCAATAGTAATGAGATACTAAAAAAAAAAAAAGTCAGAATCAAGAGGGCAGTATGTTTGAAGAACTGAAGACAGTATAGGAGGACAGGAATGTAAAAAACTAACTGTGCATAGTGCCATCAGGTGAGCTGGTGAACTAGTCAGGGACCAAAGCACAGCAAGCCATGTGTTTACAATATAGAGAATATACTGGAAAGGGATCAAGATACAGAAGCGGCCTGAAACGGTGCTGGAAATAGTCCAGGAGCTTGAGGATGCAGGCCTGAATCAGGATCCTGGCAGCAGGGATGGAGAAAAGTAGACATAGATGAGAGACAATTTCAAAGCAGAATCACAAGACTAGGTAACCAGTTAAGGAAAGGGAAGCTGGGGGAGGTTGCATGATTTGTAAGTGTGTATATATAGCTCTGGTAGCGTAGTGGTTACGAATCGGGCTGCGAACCTTAAGGCCAGCAGTTCGAAACTACCAGCTGTTCCACGGGAGAAAGATGAGGCGTTCTCCTCCCGTAAAGATTTACAGCTTGAAACCCTGTACAGGGTCGCTGTGGGTCGGAAACGACTCGACGGCACTTAACAACAAGCAAATACAAAGAGCAGATTTAGCAGGTGAGATCAGTTTGGGACAATTTTAGATTGAAGCATCTTTAGAACAGCCAAGTGAAGTGGCTGTCAAGTGAAGTCTGACTAGGTGAGAAATACAGATATAGAAGTAATACAGTCACTGAAGGTATGTGAGGGGTTGGTGTTTCCTAGAGACTCCTGGTGTGGCGCTGTAGGATCAGCACTGGACTCTGAACCAGAGGTCAGTAGTTCAAACGCACCTCGGAAACCCTACACAGTGTTGCTAAGAGTTTGAACCAACTTAACAAGAACAATCTGAAGAAATCAACATTTAAGAAAGTGAACAAATATCTAACAAAGGAGACAAGCAGGGCTTAAAACTGGTTACACCCTCACTGAGAATTTGCAGTTCTACCCCAGTTATAAAGGAGCTCTGGTAGCGTAGTGGTTACGAATCGGGCTGTGAACCTTAAGGTCAGCAGTTTGAAACTACCAGCCACTTCACGGGAGAAAGATGAGGCTTTCTGCTCCTGTAAAGATTTACAGCCTCGGAAACCCTGTACAGGGTGGCTGTGGGTCAGAACCCACTCAACAGCACTTAACTAAAAACAACAAAGCATCACCTGATAGATATGCAAAACTCGATGGCACTTAACAAAAACAACACCCCAGTTATAAAGAATCTACCATTTAAAAAAGATCCCCAGGTGATTCTTATGTAAAGAACCTTATTGATTTGGAGATTTTGTTAATGTAGATTCTGATACCATCTATCTTGGGTGGAGATGCAAATTATCAGTGGGAAAGGGGGTGGGTGGGATAGGGTATCAAACCAGATTAAACCAGTTCAATGCCCTGCTGACAAGGCATGATCATAGAGGAGGAAAGCAAGAGGAGCAACTATTTTAAAAAGCCAAAGAAAGGGAGCATTTCCTGAAGAAAAGGGTGATCAACAGCATCAAATACTGCAAAGTGCTCACAAGATAGAAATGACAATACCCATAGGTAACATGGAAGTCACTGAAAATCTTGAGAGAAACGGATAAAAATATGCTGAAATGGAGAGCAATGTATGTTGAGGAGAGTGAGTTGAAGAAAAAAGTGAGTTTAGCTCTGAAAGGGAGATTTTTTTATGTTTTATTTTAAAAGTAAAAATGTTAAAAAAAAATACTGTTGGAAAGGACACTATAGGATGGAATAGGTGAAAGAGAGGGAGGGCATCATTAATAAAACAAAATCTCTGAGAAGGTGAGTGGAGATGAGATCTAGAACTCTATTCAAAATGGGATTATGAACACTACTAGCATCACCTGAGAAGTCCTGGTGTGACGCTGTGGGGCTGTGGGTTAACAAGGTAAGGTCGGAGGTTCAAACTCAGCAGCCACACCTTGGAAACCCTATACAACAGGGTGGCTATGGGTCAGAACCCACTCAACAGCACTTCACTAAAAACAACAAAGCATCACCTGATAGATATGCAAAACGTTAGTCCCCACAGCGGACTTACTAAATCAGAATCTGCATTTTAGCAAGATCCCAGGTAATCAGTATAAACATCAAAGCTAGAGGTGCTCTGCTCTAGAGCTCAGCTCCAATCCATTGGGAGAAGTGGAGAGGATGGTGCCTATAAAGGTTCATTTGATATGTGATGACAGGAAGCTGAAGCAATTTCTGAATGAAGGCTTCGAGTATCCCTGTTAAGAGTCAGTGAAATGATCTGCTGACACCCACAGAGAAATGGTGACGGGAGAAAACTAAGACTTAGGAACAATGAGGTTTAAAATAGTCATTGCACAAAATGGGGCAGTAAGCTGACCACAAAACAAAAAATTCTGAAATGCTGCTTACAGCCTAACTGAAAGGAGCAATGATGAATATCTGCTGGTACAGATGAACCTAGTGGTACAGTGAATTCCACTACCACGACCACCACCATCCCACCCCCCAGGAGGGTTTCCCAGCCTGGATGCAACTGTGGGGCAGCCAGATAGTCTGACTGATCAAGACTAGGGTCTTGATAGGAAATGATACAGCACAAGGATTCAAGGAGTTTAGGGAATAAGCAAGAGAAGGATTAAAGCAAGAGACCATGGGTAATATGCAGCAAAGAAAGAGAAGCAAAAACAGAAGGCACTGATGGATCTAAAATAAAGCAAAGGGGTGGAAGAATGACCAGCCTGGTATGTCATAAATTTGCATATAATGGGATTAACCTCAGTAGTTAATTCTCAAAACTATCATTAACATGTTCATCTTAATATTGAGAAGGAAAATACTGGGAGGTTTCAAAAAGCTGAGGACATTCAGACTGAACTGAGTAATCTCAAGGGTAAAAGGTACCCACTGTTGAAGATAAATGACTGCAATTCACTACGTTGTGATTTAAATATCCTTCTAGATTTTCTCTCAATTACATCTGCCAAGGAGTTACTTCACACTGAGCATATATGTAATAAAATTTTACTTACATATATAGCTATATGCACTGATCTTAATTTAAAAATACAAATAGTCATTTTCTATTCTTGAATGTCTAGCTTCTAGGGTATGTTTCCTGGTTATTACCAACCATCCAGGTGATTACTATTAGAGATTGTTTTTCTTCCGTAAGTATGACCTACCTCATTTTGTGTCACAGAAGCCCCACATTAGCAGACGTATTCCTTACCTGAGAGTTCAAACAGAAACACTGCCTGAGTGGCTTTAACAATGTCATCACTGAGAGACTCCTTGACAATTCTAAATGTTTCTTCCACAGGTCCAGAGCGTGGTTTGGATTGCGGCTCCTGCTTGCCTTCTGTGAATGCTGACACAGCACCTGTAAATATCATTCAAGCAGATGTCTTATTTGTGTGAGGCCACACATGGACTTAATTAGCAGAACAAATCTGCTATGAATTAGACTTGAGTTTGACCACAATGGCTTTAAGTACATTATGTGACATCTGAAGCATATGAGGGCAAATCAAAAAGGATTGCTACTAAGGGTCCAGTTCAGACATGCATAAGTTTACTCAAATGAAACATGTCTAAATATGCCTCAGACAAGTTCTCTCAGTCCTGCTGTGGCACTGTGGGTTAATGAGCTGGACTGTAAAGTCAATTTGAACTACAAGGTCAGCAGTTCAAGCTCACCAACTGCTTCTAGGAAACCCTACACAGGGCCGGAACCAACTCGATGGCACTTAACAACAAAAAAGGGTGGCTCTCCAAAAAAAAAGGTTCAATCAAACTGGCTTCTGAGGGGATCTGTCAGGCCAGTTCAATTAAAGGCAAGAGGTCAGCTCCGAAGGTTTTGGAAACTGATTTTTGGGATTCCCAAGTAAGCTTCACAGGTGTTTTCTACGGACACAGGGCAATCGCGGGGGCTTATTAGTTAGAAATTAAAAAAAAAAATTGAAACTGCACTGGTGAGAAAAAAGGCCAGAAAAGTTACACCAAGGAATTTTTTTTCCATCATGACAATGAACCTGCTTATTCTTTGCGGAAAGCAAGGGCTGATCAAGACGGTGAAATAGCAGTAAAAATACCAGTTTTGATTATAAATGAAAACTATTTATACTCTCCAAGTAAAAGGTTGACTCTTAAACTGGGTTAAAAGGCAACAAAAAGTGCTACCCTGTGCACGGTTTGTAATAAATCTAAAACCGACAGGAGTTTTCAGGACGATCATCAATCACTCCTGTGTGTAGACCTCCCCTCTGAGTTCTAAAACCAACTGAGAAACAAGTCACTCAAGTAAAAAAGATGAAGATCAAAATATCAACTGTGTAACTGTTGTTGTTGTTATGTGCCGGGGAGTCGGTTCTGACTCATACAACCCTCCCTGTACAGTGTTTCCAAGGCTGTAAATCTTTACAGGAGCAGAAAGCCTCCTCTTTCTCCCACAGAACAGCTGGTAGTTTTGAACTGCTGACCCTGAGGATAGCAGCCCAATTCATAACCACTACACTACCAGAGAACCTAAACTTGAGGTTGTATTAATGGCCCCATGTTAACTTCCTAATAACTTTACCTCTAAATTAGAAAAAAAAAATGCTCAGAAGGGTTTTGAGCTACATAAACTCAGTTGTTGTTGTTTTTTAATCTCTCAATAGCTCATACTTTTTTGTTTCCCAACAAAATCTCAGGAGGAACCAATGCCTGGATAAGGACATCATGCTTGGAAAAGTGAAGGGTCAGCAAAAAAGAGGAAGACCCCTAACGAGATGGACTGATATGCTATCAGCAACAACGGGCTCAAACATAACAACTGTGATGATGGTGCAGGACGGAGCACTGCTGGGCATGGTATGAGTCAGAATCATCTCAACAGTACCTAACAGTACAACCACAGTATCATTTAATTCAATTGGTTCTTCCCATTGGATGAAGAAGGAGGTCAGATGTCAA